CAGGCAGAAAGCCCTGACCTCATCATTGGGGTCACTCACACCCTCCCTCTGTGCTGTGGCTGACGCCTCTCCAGAGCTGGAGGGGGAGGAGTGACCATCCCTAAAGGACGGTCGGCCAAGCGACAGGCCCCTGGCCCCTTCCGGGGACCCGCACCCAGGGCAAGGCCCCAGGCGGCGGGCAGCGTCCACGACATGGGGCGGGAGGGGTCGGCAGACGCGGCCTTCCAGGTGTCCTTCCCACTATGCACCTGCCCGGCTGGCTTTGCAAGGCCCTCTGGGAGCAGTGTGGCCCAGGTCGTGGCCCAGTGGCAGAACTGGGCGTACCGGTGCCTGTGCCTTCTGGCGACCCAGCCCCACCAGGCAGGAGCCCCACCCGCGTGGCCACCCGCAAGGCACAGGACAGACACAGCACCAGCAACTTCTGCCAGGCAGGCACACATCCCAGAGGTCGCTTGGAGGAGGTCACCATGCGCACTGAGCTGCCCACCCAAAGGCAGGAAGGGGTCTGCCATGTCGCACCCTCAAGCCCAACTCACTGCTGTGCCGTGGAATAGTCGTAGGTCATGAGGCTGAAGCCATCCAGCACAGGGGCCAGCTGCTCGAACTCCTTGTGTGTGAACATGCCCAGCTGGTCGGTCCTGCAGTAAGACAAGGTGGCCACCTCAGCCCCAGCCCCTCCGGGTTCTGGGCCAGGGTCAGAGCAAGCTGGCTGGGGGCTCCCAGCACGCCCTGCCCCACTCTCCCCTCTGGGAGGGCCACGGTCACTCTCCTCTGGGGATGGGTCCGGCCCACAGCTTGAGCAGGGCCAGTCTGGGAGCCGGTGCTGATGGCCCACCACAGCGGCCTGGGGGGGGAGAGGGGGCGGAGTTTACCCCATCAGCTCTGTGGCCTGAGGCCACCATCCAGGCCCTACCTCAACGCCTGGAGCAGGCCCACTCCTCAGGGAGGGCGGCAGGAGCCACGGCCCTTCTCTGGGACAGAGTACCGTAGAGGGCATCACCACCCGCTCTGCCCAGGCTTGTGGGGCTCATGGTTGTGCCTGGACGGCCAGAGCCCCAGTAGGGACTAGCGTCTGCGCCAAGCCATCTGGAGACCACTCCTTTCCGCCCGCCTGACAGCCACACCTGAGTTCTCTATTGGCAGTTGCACATGCAGGACAGGATACTCAGGAGTGGGACACGCATGGTCCCTCTCATGACGCTGCCATATCAAGTGAGAGGACAAATAGGGCTCACGCCCAATCTCAGTGAGATACACGGATGGGGAGGCGAGGGGCGCCATAAACATGCACGTCTCTCAGTCCTGGAGGCTGAAACCCAAGATCAAAGCATGGCAGATGTGGTATCCGTTGAGGGCTCACTCCCTACTCCCAGCCGGCCCCTTCTCACTGTGTCTTCCTGTGGGGAACTCTCGGGATCTTTTATGAGGACGCAAAGCTCATCCGTGAGGCTCTACCCCACGACCTCACTTCCCGCCGGCACCACCTCCTGTCACCATCCCCTTGGCCCGGGTGAGTGAGGCTGGACGGGGTGTGGGGCCCTTGAGGCACCAGGTGAAGGCTCAGAGGCTCTGCCCCTCACGCAGGAGGCCGTCACAGCTCAAAGGGCAGGCAGGAAACAGCCAGGAAGGGTGGAGACATGGGAAAGTCCACTCTGAGGTGCTGAGGGCCCCAGTGAGGGGTTGGCCCTCCTGGAAGACGGCAAGCCAGGGACCAAAGGCGCAAGTAGCTTGGGCAGGAAAGGGCCACCTTGCCTCAAGGCCCATGGTGGCTGGCTCTGCCCCTTCCAGGTCCAGCCTCCCTGGGAGCAGTGGCTCACCTTGCCAGGCACTCACAGGGGAACCCAAGCAGCTGACCCTCCTGTCTGGGAGGCCCAAGTCCAGGGTCTCCTACCCTGCAGAGGGCAGCAGAAGGGCCATGCGGGGACCCAAGGTGCACGTACAGAGAAGCCTCTTGCCCGGCCCTCAGGCTACAGATGCCTCGGCACACCCTGAGGACTCAGAAGCCCTGGGCAGCCGGCTTGGAGTTCATAGCGAGTCCAGGTCTTCTGCCCACCCTTCCCTGGGGTGTGTGCTGCTTTTTCACGGCCACCTAAAAGTCTCCTCTCTTCCCCTCTCCCCTCAGGGAGATGCTTCTTCTTGGTCAGTGGCATGGGCTGTGGCATTTCTCCTGGTGGAAGTCTTGTCTTAACTCCTGTGTTGTCTTTTGATATACTGACATGCTGGGCATAGTCTTCTGTGCCTGGCAGAGCCAACCCATCCGTCCCACATGCGCACGCATGTCACGCACACACAGAGTTCTGCTTTCCAACCCGGGGCTCTGCAGTACCTAGGAATGCGGCTGGCACAACTTCCTCAACCTTCCATCCACCTCTGCAGCCCTGTCAGTAGTCTTCACTCTGGGGGGACCTGCCCCATGGGCCAACCCTCCCCATGCCCATGATGCCCTTCCCAGGGCGTCAGCTCTTCTGAGACCCCCGCTTCCCATGCTACTAACAGACACACATCTTCCTGCCATGACCTGCTGCCAACAACCATGCTGCCATCACATCCCCATCCCCTTTCGTGGACACACAGCAAGACTGGGGCTGGTACAGTCACATGTCCAGGATCCAACACCCAGTAGCCACAGGATGTGCCCCAGAACCCACGGATGTCTTCCAAGGACAAGCCTCCACCAAGTCCCCAAGCACGAAGGGGCAATCCTGCTGGCCCACGTGGTTCCACGATGTACCCCTCAGTGCAGGGCGTCAACACACAGCAAGCGTGTGACATGGTCTGTACTGTTCCCATCAGGCCCTCACGTAGCCGCTTGCTGACCCAACAACTATTTCTCAAACTAGGGCCACCAAGTACAGCTCAGACGCTGGGAACGGTCGTCACATTTTCAAAAGGTTGCAGCAAAACAAGCACAGCAGCCTCTGTCCAGAGCCAGGAGCAGCCACCCTGCACAAAGCGATCTTCGGTGGGAGAAGGGAGGTCACCGGGCCCAGCCCCACGGCTCTCCCCGCCCCGCCCCACTCACTCTGGCCCTGGGGCCTCCAGGAATGGGAACCACCTTCTACCTTTGAGGAAGGCACGCTGCACGGGAGCTGCTGCCAGGGCCGCCCCTCGCTGACCTGGGTCCCCGCCGACACTCGCAAGAGCCAGTGGCTGAGTCGTTTGTCTGTGACCACTGGCATCTGAGCAAGAGGGGACTCTACGTAGCCAAGTGACACAAGAACAGCCTGCTGACAGATTAGACGCAGCGTGACTTCCAATGAACGAGAATCACTACGCACGCCGAAACCTCATGTTCCGAATTCATTAGGAGGAAAGAAGTCCTGGGGAGAGAAGCAGCAGGAGAACAAGCACACCACCATCTGCCATCCTCAGCAGCTTAGGCTGGCCCAGGCGGACAGTGGCAGGGAGGGCGCATGTCCACGCAGCCTTCCACAGCACCCCCTGGCTCCACCCCACGCCAGTGCCCAGCCCAGACAGCGGGACACTCTCCACACTGCTCAGGACGCCCCTGTGGTTGCTCGGTGCTGAGACAGGGTACTCTGCACCCCATGGCCTCAAGGGTGTACAGCCCGGCTGGCCACCTCACATCCTCCTCCCCGAGTCACCCATTCTTCCAACCATGTATGCCCCCTCCTTTCCGGAAAGGGGCTAGGCAGAGATACCCCGGCAGGGGGCCTGACCAGGTCTCTCCAGCCACGTGGGCCTCTTCACTATGAGACCCTGCAGCTGCCAGAGCTGGGGAAGGTAGGGTTTTGGGGGCACACAGTGGGGCTGAGACTTCCAGTCTCCTCCCAGACACCGAGAGGTGGTGAGGGCTGCAGCCCCTGCACAGGGCCTCCCCTCTCGTTCACCTTATCACCTCTGCACAGACCCACGCCCACGCTCTACCTGCTCCTACGTGCTGCCTTTTTTTTTCAGTAGGAGTCTCACTCTTTTGCCCAGAGTGCAGTGGCACGCTCACAGTCACTGCAGCCTCTACCTGCTGGGCTCACTCAGACGACCCTTCCGCCTCAGCCTCCCAAGCAGTTGGAACTATAGGGGCACCTTGCCACGCCTGGCTAGTGTTTTGATTTATAGTGGAGACAAGATCTCGCCAAGTGGCCCAGACTGGTCTCAAACCCGTGGGCTAAGGCAATCCTCTCACCTCGGCCTCCCAAAGTGCTGGGATTAGGGCGTGAGCCGCTTCGCCTGGCTCACGTTCTATCTTTGACCTCTCTGAGACCCCCAACCGCCGACCTTGGTCCCCTGTCCGGGCCCCACAGAGTGGACGCCTCCTCCTTTTACTGAGTGGCCGCCATCTCTGGGCAGCATCTGCACTGCCAGAGAGTCAAGGTCAGGCAGAAGGCCACGGCTCGACATCAACCTTTCCTGGAGCTTCGGCCTGCTGAGGAGCCCCAGGGCCTCAACTCCTGGCATCACGCTCCTCAGACTCTCGCCTCGCTGGTGCCCGCTGGAGGTGAACCTAAGTCCATCCCCTACGGGCCTCCCTCTGGGCCCACTCTGCGGCCTAGCACCGGCTCGACCCACAGTCACCAGTCCCTGCTGGTCACACTGCCTGGCCCCCGGGAACACCAGGCCCCAGTCCTCACGGAGGCAGTGGCATCACCATCCACACAATGTGCCCACACCCGGGGTGCCAGCCCACGCCTGCTCCTCCTCCCCAGGCTGACCCCAGCCACCTGAGGGGCATCTTGACAGCTCTCCTCCCCACTTCACTGACCGGTCAAAGGCTTCTCAACCCACCCCCCTAGGTTGCCTGGACGTCTTCAGCTGCCTGCTCAGCCCCGGTGGCTGTCTCTCTCACTGCCTGTGATAGCAGCCTATTCTGTCAACCTGCAGGCCCATCCGCTTCCTACAAGCCAGCTGAAACCCTTCTGCCCTCTGGGTCCCAACCTCAGCCTGTACCTTGGTCTGTCCACACTGTACCGGGTGCCCACCACCTCTGATGGAGACCTCAGCACAAGCTGCTGGCAAGCTGCTTGCCCAACCCCCAGGCTGCAGGCAAGGAGCAGAGGGTGGTCAGAGCAGAGGCCTCTGTGCAAGGGTGCTAGGAGTGTGGTAATGGTGCTCTCAGGTGAAGGACCCCCACTTGTCATTGTTCTCTGACCACTGAGCTGGGTTCATGTGGCGGAGATGGCCAGGGAAGCCCACCTTAGGGGGCCCACCGTTCATAAAGCCACTGAGAGGGGCCCGGCAGGGCTCAGGAAGAAAGCCAGTCCTTCTGTGGTCCCTGTGATCCGCTTCCTGGACCTGAGGGGGCCCCAGTAGCCAAGCACACCCAGAAAACACGAGGCACCAGCTGGAGACCAACTCAAGGGCTCCGCAATTCCGAGGATGGCATGGCCACAAGCACATGGCAGGCCCAGGGGGAGGGCTGCACTGTGGCTCTGCCCCTGTGCCTCTTCCACTGATCTGGCTGTGACCTTGGGAGCAGGCCTCAAGGTCAGCACAGTGCCCAGCTCCAGGCTCAGATGTGGGGGTCCACAGCTGTGTCTGCCCCTGGGGGCTGAGCCCTCTGCCCAGCCCTCTGCCCGGCTACTATTCTGACCAGCACCGAGGGAGAGGCTGTGCAGAGGCCGGCGGGTCTGTGAGAAGACGCCAGCCGAGGCGGTTACTGGACGCTTTTGCAGATGCCGCTCTTCGGTGAGGGCGTGTGGGGGAAACAGACACAGAAGATAAAACACCCCTGGCTCCCAGAACCTGGGGAGAGACCCCGGACCTCCTTACCTGTCCGGCCAGCTAGGGGCAAGGGCACACAACAGCTCAGCAGCAGTGCCTGTCCCCGACCCCAGCTTCTCCGCACCCCTCTGCAGGCCTCGGCCCCGCCCCCTCAGCCACCCACAGCATCTGGCTGGAGTCATAGCCAGGACAGGGTGAGGGGTGAGGACAGCTCCCACTGCCCACCGCCTGCCTAGGGCCGGGAGCCTGGGAGGTGATTTCCGGGCAGAGGGAGCTCCCCAGAGAAGGCAGCCCCCAGCCCTGCCTTGACCTCAGAAACTGCCCTGGGCTTGGGAGCCTATCCCCGCCAACAGCTGCTCCTGTGTCCGCCCAGACAACCGCCTAACCACAAAGGGGAACCCGGGCCTCCACCCACATCCACTCACAGAGCCTGGGCCACCCGCGGATGAGTGCCACGTGGAGGTAGCTGAGCCCACAGGCTCGGGGTGCCCTCCAACCCAGGAGTGTCTGCCGCCTAGCTCTTCCCCCAGCCCCAGCTGCTGTCAGCACAGGAAGGGCAAGGCCTTGCCACCGCCCCCCGCAAAGCACATTATCTAACAGCTCACGTCAAAGAAGATGCAGCCTGGGGAACGGCATGGGCAGGACCCAGCCCTGGACTTGGGCCCCTCTTTCAGGCAAGGCCCAGCCAGTCAGCGCAGCTGGCGCAACGGAGGGGAAGGAGGTTGGGGAGGCAGAGGCACAGAGCGGTGCCCACAGATGGGCAGGGCTTCCCCGTGCTTGGGCACAGGCTGAGGGAGTCCCGGCCCTGCACGAGGCTGCACGTGTGCATGCGTGGGTGTGTGTGCAGGAGGAAGCTCAGGCCATGCACGGAATGGCCCTCAGGGCTCCCCCTGGGGTGGCACCTCGGGCGCCTCTTCTGCTTTCAGCTGTTCCACCACGAGATCAGCCGCGCCTGCTGGGCACTGGGACCTGCGACACGTTCAGTGCCCGGAGGGTCTGAGCATGGCCCATCCTGGCTCCAGCAGAGGGACCTGCCCCCCAACGACAGGGCCCAGGGACCCAGGTCTGACACCAGGCCTGCAGAGTGCAGCCTCGCCTACCTCCACATGGCCTCAGCGACCTGAAGCTACGCTGGTGGCTGAGAGCCCTGGGGAGTGTGGGGGGAACGGCCGGCTGGGAGACTGACAGCCACGTCTTGCCAAGGGCCCCGGGCATCCTCGAGGCTGGGGAAAACCACCAAGCCGTCAGCACGGCCTGAGACCGCGGGGCCCGGAGGAGGCAGCCGGCCAGGTGAGTGGGGCCCAAAGAAGCAGCTGGCCTGTGCTGGGACAGACATCTGTGGGGTGACAGACGCCCTGAACACAAACTGGCTCTTTTGTGAGTCTCTCTAGCCGTCTTTGGAGCCCAGGAGTGCATCCAATCACAGTGCCAGTGGCCCCTGACCTCTACTCTGGTGATCACCATTCCAGTGAGGGTTGCAGAGGTGAAGGCTGGCAGCTTCCTTCCAGGTGGGAGGCTGGGGGTAAGGCATTCACCTCGGGGGCTGCCCTCAGAGGCTGGTGGGACTCCCACCTGGATGGCCCAGGGCGCCCCCACTCAGCCCCGGCTGGTCTGCAGCCCCCACTGGCCTGCTCCCGTCCTCGTGGCCCCCAGGTCTGCTCATCGTCCTCACATGGGGATTCAGGCCCTTCTCTGTGCCCAGCACACGTGAGACGCTCCTGCTCTTACAGCAAGTATCTGTCACTCCGCTGTGCTATCCCGCCTGGCGGGGTTGGGGAGGCCCTGCCCCCAGCTGACGGCCTCTGGACTGTGGAAGCCACCACCTCCGCCTAACTACCCACAGGCACGGGGTATAAATTTGGCCAGAAGCAGCAAACACCTTGAGCCCCAGGGCATCTCCAAGATCAAGACTAGAAGACGTCAGTTCTCAGACCACAGGATTTCTCAGCAGTCTTCAAGTGTGTTTGGGCTGACAGTCTTCAATCACAAGGTTAGTTGAGATGAGCCCTCACCTCTGGGCCACACCTCCCAGGTGTGCAGCTGCTGCAGCGTCTACACAGATGGGGTGCTGGGTCCCTTGGCTGGTACCCTCCACGGCCACCCCAACCTCAAGAGCAGCACTTACCCGGGGGTGACGGCGGGCGGGATGACCAGAAGGGCCAGCAGCCGGGCCTGGTGTAGCGCCTCTGCAAGGTGGGTGAGCATGTGGATGAGGCCCCTGAAAGAGAGGAGCAGGGTTGGCATGCAAGCAGCACCAGTGTCCACCTGGCGCACCTGCCGCGGCTCCTTGGCACCCACCACCTCAGGATGAGTGGGTCGGGTCCCCAGCCTGAGACCCCACAGCAGGGCAGGCGAAAGCCCGAGTGGGAACTTGCTACCCACCTCCGGACGCAGCCCCGGATGATGTAAACATGCATGCCCGGAGCAGCCCGCAAGCACCATGAAGAAGCTGGGCATAAGGCTGCCCCTTCCCCACCGGGCCCACCTAAACCCGGCTGAGCCCCTGTCCTTCCTCCCACTCTGGGGCCCCCAGAGAGCAGAAGCCTGTGCAGCACCCCAGGGCTCCCAGAAAGGGGTCCCAAGGACCAGAGACAGACCCGCAAAGACACAGCAGGTGAGCAAGGACTCCAGCAGGCCCAGGGCCTTGACGCAAGGGTGGCCCAGACAGCCTCAGCTGTGTATGCCACACTGGGAGGGGCCACAGTGGGAGGGGGCTTGGGGAAGGCAGGGGCAGGGCACCTGAGTGGGCACCGGGCGAGTCTGGACAGGTGGGATGAAGAGAGGGAGGGAGCCGTGAGATCTCCTCTGGCTCGGCAGGTAGGGAGGCAGCCAGGAGGCAGTAGCACCTCCAGGTGGGCTGGTTGCGTGCCCCAAAGGGGGACACTGGCTTCTTTCTGGCACAGCCCGGAGCACCCGTCAGAGCCCCTGAGCCTGTCTCGGGCACAAGCTGGTGCCCACAGGTCTGCCCTGCAGGTTATGTCATCAAAGAAACCCGGCCTGCAGTACAAGCTGGGCAAGGTTTGGCCGTGCTGTTACTGTGTATGGGAGGGAGGGGACCCCCCGACACACACACACTGCAGGCCCCAGAGCAGTCAAACCGGGAGAGGAGGCGGCGAGTCCCACCACTCACAGGACACCAAGAGAAGGACGGAGGCCAGGCCAAGTGTCAGTCCCCACATCTCCCACTGGCCCCAGGTCTTGCTCTGCTCCAGCACAAGTTCCTGCAGAGTGTGGCGACAGCTGGCCCAGGCCACAACAGGCTGCTGGTTCCTCAGCCACATTCCCCGAGGCACTGGTCCCCTCAGCGGTGCCAGTACTACAGCCTGGCACACGCAACTGCTGGAAGGTGGCAGCTCCTGAGAGGGTCCCCAGTGTGGCCCAAATCAGGCTGTCCTCATCCAAGCTAAGCACTGGTGATCCCTGTGAGAACTCGGCCCGAGCAACCGAGGGCACTTGAGGCCCAGCTGCCCTTCCTGGGCCTCACATTGGCTCTGCAGGAGGCAACGCAGGAACAGACCATAGCAGCAAAGAGCCTGGGGGCAGCCCATTCTCAGTACCTGTATCCAGAACTTGCTACCTGCAGGCCGCTAGAGGTGGTGGTCGGGGGGGCATCACCCATCCTTGGAACACAGAGCAGAGCAAGGTGTGACCAGGGGCTAAGGAGCCTGGGAAGCTGAATCCCCGGGGGCTCCTGCCTGGCCCTGAACATGTAAGCTCTCTGCTGTCTCAGGTGCTCATGGCTTTCCCAGGGCACAGCAGACCTGGGGTGCAGAAGGTGCCATGGCCATTCTGTGAGGGGCCCAGGGAACTGGGGTGTCTACCCACAAGCAGTCAGACTTCATGGCAGGGCCCAAAGCTGGTCTTCAGGGAGGACAGGCGAGTCAGGCCACCAGGGGATAGTGTGGGTCCAGGGACAACACGGAATCCAGCTGTGGGGGGGTGTGGGCCTCACCCACGGCGCTCCTCGGGAAAGACCCCAGTCCCAGCTGCTGGCACGTCACAGCCACTCCACGTCACAGCTACTCCAAGAGTGGGAACAACTGTAAGGGGCTGTCTGGAGCTTGGGGGACTCGAGTCAACGCTATCCCTGCTAAGGGTGCTGCCTGCAAACCCTGCAGACAGACGTGCCCCGGGCGCATGTCTGGGGCCCAGCGCGGGGGTCTTGAGTCCACAGAGCACAGCCTGGTGTGCTGGGGGAGGGGTCCAAGTGGAGGGGTCAGGTTCACGCGGGGAGGCAATGCCCGGGCAGCACGTCCGAAGGAATCTGCTGCCCCAGCTGGGCTTTGTACTCGGAGCCCAGGCACCTCCTGCCCCCTGCCCTGCACCCCCCCACAGCCCCCACTTCCTTACGGGAGCCTGAACAGGGCTGCACGGACGGCTCCCACCCCTCCTCCCCGCTGCAGTTCTCCCTCGGCAAGTTGACGACCCGTCCGTTAATGACCTGACATAATGAGGCTGTGTCTCACCCCAGCCCTCCCCCCAGACACAACGAGGCTGTGTCTCACCAGGAGCAGCCCTGCGGTGCTGTCTCGCTGCCTACTTAATGCTCTGAGACAGAAATGAACTACAGGAAACCTCTGATTAATGGACTCACTCACTCTCCTAGCATTAGTGGGAAGGATGGAAGCTGGTGGAGTCTGTCTCCTGCTCAGAGGGACCCCTCCCTCAGAGGGTACCGGAAGGTCAGCCTGGCAGGATCTACCGCCTGTTACCCAGCACATCAAAAGACCTCAGCGGCAAAGAGCCCTGGGGGAGCCAGTCCTCTGGCACCTGCATCCAGAACTCTCTACAGGTGCCAGAAGCTGTCATGCACCTGCAGGCCACCAGAGGTGGTGGTCAGGGAGGGCATCGCCAATTGAAACACCAGAAAGAGCAAGGTGTGCCCAGGAGCTAAGGAGTCTGGGAAGCTGAAACCCCCAAGGCAGGGTCTGAGGTCATCTCTGGCCAAGAACACAGGGCACACGATCCTCAGGGCAGAGCTGGGTCCCTTGGGGACGTGCAGACACAAGATGCCCCACAGACCTGGGGCTGCCCTCACCCCACCCTCAACTCGGCTCTTTCCCACCCTCCCCCCGGCTCCTGGGCCCTCCCAGGCGCAAGCAGACAGAGGAGAGCCTCTCAGAAACGCCTGGCAGGGCAGGCAGGGTTCTGAGCAGAGGATGCCTGAGCACTTAGAAGCAGACTCAAGGGCCGCTTTTCGGGAGCCGGGCGGGGCCTGGGAGCAGCTCCAGGCAGAGCCAGCAAAAGCTACAGCAAGCTGGTGCGGTGGCTCACGCCTATAATCCCAGCACTTTGGGAGGCCAGAGTGAGAGGAGTGCCTGAGCCCTCAGGTTCAAGACCAGCCTGGGCAACTTGGCGAGACCTCGTCTCCACAATAAATCAAAAAATTAGCCAGATATGGTGGCATGCGCCTGTAGTTCCAGCTACTTGGAAGGCTGAAGCAGAAGGACTGCCTGAGCCCAGCAGATCGAGGCTGCGGTGGCCGCGACAGAGTGAGACTCGGACTCCAAAAAAAAAAGCCACAGCAAGGCCTGGTCAGGCCCAGCCCCTGGGGCTGGCAGCGAGAGTCTCCTGCCAAGGGCTCCAGGCACACCTTCCTCTGGGTCCTCAGGCAGGGAGCCTGCCCCTTTCGGCCCCACCCCACGGGGCTCCAGCTTGGCACGCCCTTCCTCCCTCACCCACAGAAGGTCTGTGTGGTGATGCTGCCTCTGAGTGGGCAGAGTCAGGACCTGCAGCAGCAGTGGGATGGAGGGCGCCGCAGGGGACACCAGGAGAGCCCAAGTCCCACTGGGGCTGCCATGGCAGGAGGTGGCTGAGGCCAGGCTCAGCTGAGCTAAGGCACAACTGGAAGAACTTCAGGAAGGAAGGGAGGGGGCTGCTGATTCCAGAAGCCACAGCCTGCACAGAGGTTGAAGGAAGGGCTGGACAGCCGCTGCCGGCTCTTCTGCACAGGGATGAGATCAGAGTCGGCCGCCTGCCCCACGGCCACTCCCGTTTCTCTGAGCAGGCTGCCATCTTTCACAGGCCCCGGCCCCCGCCCAGGCACAGGGACTGTGGGGGCTCCCTGTCCCCCCGTCCTTCCTCCAGCCTCGTCCAAACACTAGAGCCAGGAAAAGCATGGCCGCCACCCACCACCCACTGGCCCGCTGCCCACTCACACATGCTTCTGGCTCAGCAGCTGGCTCCAGACCTCCACCACGAAGCCATCAAGATGCTGGTTCTGAAGGAAACAGGAGCACGTGAGGAGGGCCAGGAGCGCCGAGGAGGAGGGTGGAAAGGCAGACAACACAAAGCCCACCACCTCCGCCCACCTGGCCCAGGCACAACCCGGTCACTCATGACCTGGGCAAGGCCCAGGCTCAGGTTGTACATCTAGAAGCCCGTCTGAAGGGGCAGCATGGGAGGCCCCCATAGGAGCCAGAAGTGGGCGCCCACCCTTGTACCTCCCCTGATGCCACTTCTGGGGGCCTGAGGGCTCCCTGACCCTTGTAGCCCAGATACAACGGCAGTTGGCAGACAAGCCTCCCTCCCCTGGGTCCTCCACAGGACCCCTGTGGTCAGGAGGGAGTGGGCAGCAGCCTGAGCAGGGCTGAGGCTACCCTACCTGCAGGGCGGGGGCCACACCAGGAAGTACCCAAGGAAGAAGCCAGGAAGAGCCACCCGTGGTGCCCTGCAGGAGGCCTGGCCCGAGGAAAACACGGGCTGGGGCCTGTGCTCTGGGGCCTCACCTTTGCCACCTGGACCACAGTCTTGCTGAGCTCCTCTATCTCATCCTCACTGTCTAGAACGTTCCGGAAATCGTCGTAAGTCCAGTCCTCAAACAGAAGCCGAGGCACTGGGGGCAACAAACATGCGGAGACTGTGACCTGGAAGCACAGAACAGCCCTCCTCTACTGGCTCCCAAAAGGGTGTGTGCTTGGCCTCCAGAGTGGAGCAAGACCAAGCGGAGCCGGCCAGAGAAGCCGCCCGGAGCAGCCACACACGGTGAGGACGTCCCACAGCCTTGCAGAAGAGGGCAGGACAGTGGGGAAGGGGCGAGAACACACTAATGCCCTTCTGCCTGACACCAGCTCCCCCAGGGCCCCGCAGGGGACAGCCTCAACTTCCAGGACAGCCAGGCCAGACCCTGTTGCTTGAGCTCAGCCCATCACCTGCTCCCAGCCTCTCCACAGAGCTTCTCCCTTCTTTTGCTCTTATTTTTTAATTTTTAATTTTTTTTTTTGAGTTGGAGTCTCACTCTGTCGCCCAGATTGGAGTGCAGTGGCCGCTCCCGGCCACTGCAGGCTCGACCTGCTGGGCTCTGGCGATCCTTCCGCCTCAGCCTTCCAATCAGCTGGAACTACAGGCACGCGCTACCACACCTGGCTAATTTTTGATTTATTGTAGAGATGGGGTCTCGCCAAGTTCCCTAGGCGGGTCTCGAACCCGCGGGCTCAGGCAATCCACTCACCTCAGCCTCCCAAAGGTGCGGGATTACAGGCTGAGCCACCGAGCCCGACAACTCTTATTTTTTTAAAGACAGGATGCAGTTGTCACCCAGGGTGGAGTGCAGAGGTGCAATCATAGCTCACTGCAACCTTCAATGCCTGGAGTCAACCGATTCGCCTGTCTTAGCATCCTGCCTGTCCTCCAAGTAGCTAGGACTGCAGGCAGGCACCACTATGCCTGGCTAACTGCATTTTCTGTAGAGTCGAGGTCTCGCTACATGGCCCAGGCTGGTCTTGAACTCTGGGTTCAAGTGATCCTCTCGCCTCAGCCTCCCAAAGTGCTGGGTTTTACAGGCGTGAGCCACCATGCACTCTTGTTGGGCTGCCTTTGAGCCTCTTACTGAATGTGGGGACATGTAACCCTCCCTCCCCAGTCATGAGCTACGGGGACATGGGTGGGCAGGGTCAGTGTCACCCTCAGGCAGAGCCTAGGGTCTGGCCCCAGCTGCCTAAAATGAATGAAGAAACAGGAGAGGGGCAGTGAGGGCAAAGCCACTGGCCAAGGAGGTGATGGCCTTGGTAAGCCATGGCCTGGATGGGCAGGAGCGCCCAGGACTCTAGCTGCACCGTGGGCCACAAAGGCCAGGCCAGACTTGTCTCTGAGTTATCAGGGGAGCAGCCTGTGCTGGAGCAGCATAGCCCGATGGCCAGAGACACAGGGAGACCCCAGCCTGCTCATTTACCCATAGGAAGGTCATGTCATCAGGGGCCTCCACGCCCTGTGGCGAGGGCCACTCCCAGGCCTGCGAAACTCACCTATGCGCAAGCCTCTGGCATTCTTCCTGACGGCTCGCATCCACCCTGTGGGATGTGGAGGGACATTCAGCACAGGTACATGTGTCCAGCTGGAAGAGCAGCCCACCGGAGGAAGAAAACATGGCAGCCACACCATACAGAGGGAATGGCAGGTGGTGGGGAGCCTGGTATGAGAACCCTCCTCTTCCCGGTCCAGGGGCAGCCTTGCATCCCCACGCCTGATCCCAGCCCCCTCTCCCGACTCCACAGGGCAGCTCTGAGCTGGCCCTTCCTGAGCTGGGATGGCTCAGAGCCCAGGGCTGGTCGGGGGGGACAGACAGCTGCAGCCCAGGTCATCATCCCAGAGCCTGGGGAATGTCAAGGCCTTTCTCCGAGCTGAGGTGCAGCCAGAACTTGCCAGGCCCTGACATTTGCTCACCACTGTCTTCTGGACATCCAGGGAAAGCAGCTAAGGGAGGGACAGAGAAGGGGGAGCTCTCCACTGCCCGGAGGCTGTCTGAGTCGTTCCGGAGCCTGCCCTGCACACATTCACACGCAGCTCAGACATTCACGGGAAAGCCCGCCTCACAGCCACCAGATCGTGGGGGCAGGGGCAGGCAGACGTTCTGAGGCACCCCCTGGCCTTGCAGCGGGTCCCCCAAGGCGGTTCTCAGGGACTGCCTCCACCAGGCCCATTCCTGCTTTCCCACCCTGCACGGCAGCTCACGCCATGAACCGTTCCCTGGGCTCAGTCACGCAAAGCGAGGGAGCAGACCTTGTGGTCACTGACACACCCACACCCAGTCACACTCACACTCACACCCACAGTCACGCAATTACACTCGCACCTAAATTATCACACATTCTCACACTTACACACACACACTTACGATTCACACACAGACACTCTTGTACAGACACAGACACACACACACGCATGCACGCGTACATCCTCCCACACTCTTCTCAACTCCGGGGACAAACACAGACAAGCAGGGAGGAGGAGAACCTTGGTCCACGTCATGGAGGCCTGTGATCTCAAACATCTCACGGCCACGTCTCTTCAGCTGCAGCCAGACAGGTGAGATATGCGTGAACTTGCTCCCAAAGACCTTGGTGACATCGTAGCCATGGCTGTTCCACTGGCAGAGGAAGAAGGCGTCAGACAGAAGACAGGTGAGTGCCCACCTGCCTTGCCATGGTCCCACTGGCTGCTCTGGACATGCCCAGGGCCGGCCAGTGTAGACGACTCTCAGCCCGGGCTGACTCCAGCCCCTGCCTGCGATACTCTTCACCACTGTGGATTGTCCTCCACAGCCTGGGGTCTGAGCTGCCACGGCTCCCTCATCAGAAGTGACTGGGGCTTCTTTCTCACACGCAGACTGCCAGCTGGGGCTGGATGGCCCGAGAGCCCACCTCTGAACTCAGGGCACCAAGAGGAGTCCCCTGTGGCCATGGGGAGCCAGACCCCAGAGAAGCCCCCAGTGCCCTTCACTCTGACATCTCCAGGATGGCATCTCTCCCGCTGTAGCCTCGGGGCAGGGGCAGCCCAGGGAGATCAGAACTCCCACCACCATCTGACCAGGAGGAAGCTGGGGGCCAGGGCAGCCCCTCTGAGCCTCTGGACTACCCTCTACCGTGAGGGTCTCAGCTTACTGGAGTGACATAGCCCAGGACGTCTCCAGGAAAGTGCCTGTCCCGGGACTGCGCCGAGCAGTAGCTGCGATGTTCGAGAACCACGTCCTCGGCTTTGAGGTCTGTCACCACCAGGCCTCGGTCCTGGACAGGCTTGTCTGAAAACTGGTTCTGAAACACAGCAATGGAGAAGCAGCCAGTCACCAATCGCTGGGGAGGAATCCAGCATCCCAAGCAGCAGCAGTAAGTCCCTTCCGTTCAGCCGGCAAAAGTGTCCCTGGTCCCCGTGGCGCTGCTGACCGGGAGGCCTTGCAAGCAGGGATGGAGGCCACAGCAGGCGGTGCCATCCGGAAGGGCTCTGGGGCCAGCAAGCAGACAGTGGGCGACCACAGAGGCTGCCCACCTTTGCTCGGGCTGGACGGCTCCACCACACATATGAGCCAGGACACCGCCAGCCAGGTCACTTCAAGCTCATCTGGGCACCCCCAAGCCACTGTTGCTAAACAGACACGCCAGGCCCACACCACGCCACTGGCCAGCCATTGCCTGCCAACACCCCAAGCCTGCGTCTTCTCTCGCCTCATTCCCCGCCTCCACTTCATCCGGTTCTTTTGCTTTTTTGAGTTGGAGTCTCACTCTGTCGCCCAGACTGGAGTACAGCGGCCGCTCCCGGCCACTGCAGCCTTGGCCTGCAGGGCTCCGGTGATCCTTCCGCCTCAGTCTTCCAAGAAGCTGGAACTACAGGTGTGTGCTACCACACCCGGCTGATTTTTTTGATTTATTGTAGAGATGAAGTCTCATCAAGTTGCCCAGGCGGGTCGCAAACCCGTGGGCTCAGGCAATTTACTCTCCTCAGCCTCTCAAAGTGCAGAATTACAGGCTGACCCACCGAGCCCGGTCATCCAGTTCTTGACTTGCCTGTCTCTCCACACTCCAGGGCCTGGCTCAGTCTCCCCTTGACACTGCCCACTCCCTGGCCTCACCTCGAGGGGCACTGTGAGGGACAGAGACGCCAGCTGCATGGGTGCTCTGCCCCGAGCCCGGACAGAGGGATGCCTGCCAGTCCAGGACTAGGTCACAGGAATGGTCTTGTGACAGTAGGTCTGGCCAGCAGCATGATGACTACTGGGGCAGAAGGGTGGGTTTGATGGGGACCCCCCCTCAAGTGTACAATCCCCAGGACCATGCCAGGAGAATGGCACAAAGACCATGAGGCAGACGCAACTGACAGCGTGAATATTAAAGTCTGCTACAGTGGCAGGATGAGGGTGCAGGTATTGAAAGAGGAAATCAAGCCAGGCTCGGTGGCTCAGCCTGTAATCCCGCGCTTTGGGAAGCTGAGCTGAGTGGATTGCTTGAGTATGCAGGTTCGAGACCCACCAGGGCAACTTGGCGAGACCTCATCTCTACAATAAATCAAAAAATCAGCCGGGCGTGGCAGCACGTGCCTGTAATTCCAGCTACTCGGAAGGCTGAGGCGGAAGGATCGCCGGAGCCCAGCAGGTCAAGGCTGTGGTAGCCGGGGGCGGCCACTGCACTCCAGTCTGGGCGACAGAGTGGGACTCCGACTCAAAAAAAAAAAAGAGGAAACCAGCACAGGTGACAGGCCCCAAGTGGGACAGGTGGGGATGCCCAAGAGTAACCACCCACCCTCAAAACCTGCCCCAAGGCTGCTCACTTAGAGCCATGACCCTCGGCCTCCCGCTCAGAGGCGCTGGGGGCCAGCGTGGTCACCTCAGTCCCCAAGCCACTCCTACCTTCTCCAGCAGTGTCTTTGAGGCGGCCTTTTTAGCATCCGACTTTGACAGGGTGGCACGAACAGGGTTCGGGCTACAGGCCAGAGCAAGCCACAGTAGGCCACTGAGGAGTGGGCGCATGGTGGGTGTGTCACAGCAGGGTCCAACCTCGGGGTCCAGGAGGCTGCAGGGGGAGCAGAACACGGGAAGACACGTGCCAGGAAAACGCAGCGCAGGCAACCTCTCTGCCGAGGGAGCACTCTGCTCCAGGAGAGCCTCGGCCCCCAGGACAGCACCCTCTATGGGCCCATGCTGGCAGCTGGAGTCCATTCTCCAGTACTCCTGGGCCCCCCGCTGGGCTCCAGTTCCTTCCCCAGACAACAGGAAACAGCTTTCTCACTAGCTGCCATATTGCCCCTCTCACTGCCCAAGGCCACCCACCGAAGCAAGCATGGTCTCCCACTCCCTCACTCAAACCCAAAGAAACCCCAGCCATGGTACAGCTTAAGTGTAAAATAATGGAGCCACAGAAAGTACTAGAAGAAAATATTCACACCCATTTATGCAATTTCAGGGTGGGGAAGGCTCTTCCAATTAGATCAGTAAGGGGCAAGACTATCAGAGAAGATACCATGAGAGTTGACTACATGTAAATGGAAAATCCTCATTTTGGAAACAAAAAAGGTGACCTTAAAGACAAACAATAAGCCAGAAAAAAAATCTGGAGATACTTGACAATGGATTTCTACCCACAATCTATCCACAAAGACACTTTACAAAGAAGCGACACTCCAGTAAGTGTCCTACTGCAAAAATAAGAAGGGGATGAGAAGTGGTATAATAGAGACACCTGGAGTTCCAGAAATAAGCAGCACAGCCTTACCAGAGATCAAAGAAGCGAAACTGAAACAAGACGGTGTTACCCAGGGTGTGAAGGATGATATCACAAGGACCTGGGCAGCACAAGTTTCTAGAGCTGCGAGTGGGGATTTAGGTTTGGAAAACTTTCTTTGATGACTATCTGGTCATAAATATTACACTTTTCAAGACACATTTATTTCTCACACATTCTGCTTTGGGGGATTCTCTACTTATGTAGAAAACATGAGCATGCTCACAGACTTAGCCCTCCTAGACGCTAAAACACAGATAGGCACCGCCATGTCTACCACACGCATTCAACGCAGACGTCACCAAGCAGCATTTACACGGCACGGTCTCATGGAAAAATGTATGTACGGAGACATGCTCGAAGTTAGAGAGGAGGCTATCTGGAATGACTTGTCATTTTCATTTTCCTCTTTTGCTTTTTCCATATTTTCTGGTCTTCTAACACTATACTTTTTTTTTTTAAGAGGCAGGATCTTGCTAGGTTGCCCAGGCTGGTTCTGAACTCCTGGCCTCAAGCAATCCTTCCACTCTCCCACAGCACTGGAATTAAAGACATGAGCCACCACGCCTGCATCTAAATTTTTACCATACAGCTCATTTTTAGGTTCTAGAGACCTTCCTCCCCCCACACACACACCCAGGTGATTCTACCTTCTTTCACTCTCAGGAAGGGGCCGCGCCACAAGCCAGACCAGCCAGGCTGTCTGTCCTTTGCGAGCCTTGACGTCGTTGCGAAGTACCTTCTGGCTTTGCACCCCTAGCAGCAACATCTTCCCAGACCAGCTGAGGAACCCACCCAGCCTAGGCAGAGCCCACCTGGCAGGGAGGGGGCTGGAGGGCCAGCCTAGCCCACTGCCCAGGGGTGGGCAGAGGCCTTCCTCTTGGACCACAGGAACCAGAGGACCTGGGAGCTCAGGCTCCAGAGACGCCAAGAACCCCAGCTGGCAGGATGTGCCTGTCAGAGCCAGGCCCGCTGGTTCTTACTCTGACAATCACCTGGCCAGGAACCTGCTTCCGCCTGTTCCGAAACCATTTTTTTTTTCTTTTGGAAAGCAGGATTTATTAAGAGGACAGAAAAGCTCCCACAGTGGGAGGGGACCCAAGGGGATTGTCCCAAACCCTCCTCTTGAACCACTTTCCTCTGCAGGGGCTCACACTGCCACTTTGCTCTTTCCTGGGGAGACAGGTGCTCCTGGTGCAGACTGAGGGGGTTGTGGCTGACCCTGGGCAGGAAGTGTCGAAGCTTTGGCACCTAACACACCTGCGTGGAGCAGCAGAAAGAACACCACCCTGGAGCCAGAAGCTCCCTGACTTGGAGAGGTAGGAAGCCAGGAGACAGCCTGGCCGGTGGCTCTAAGGACTCAGAAAGGGGGCCACAGGTAAAGGCAGCAGCTGCCCCAGTTCCAATGGGCTGTGGAGGGAATAAGACTCAGGACCACATTGCCACTCTCTACCCTCTTCCCTGCCCCCCCCCACCGGTGACACACTCCAGCATCAGAATCAAAGCAGCAGCCCCTCCATCTACTGCAGCTGTGAGGCTTGGTCTGAGCTGGTAACAACCCCAGGGAAGGGGAAGTTCTGGCCGTGACACCTAGAGCTTGCCAGGCCAAGCTGAGACAGCTGCCTCAGTTCCCAGGTACCTCATCTTTGACTCCAGCCCCTCCATGACCACAGGCTCATTCGTTCTCTCTCCTCTGGGTGCAAATCTCGGTCATGGAGAAAGGAAAGGGATGAGAAATCAAACGGAGATGGCCCTCCAGGGAAGTGGTCCAGGAGTAAGCTGAGGTGCCCGTGGGCTGCAGACTTGAAACAGGGTCACTGTCCCCCGACTCAGAGGCCCCTCTGCCTGTGACCTCCCTGACTCCTGACCTGTGATTTCACACCTCAGGGAAGGAAAAGGGCAGCAGGATGGGGCCAACCAGGTCGTGTGGAAGATGGCACTGCCAGCTTCTGTGTCTGGCAGAGGGGGTGCTGGAAAGAGAACCAGACCGAGCACAAGGCCAGGGCCGGTACCGCGGCTGACGACCTGCACCCGAGGGCTGGTTCTGGGACAAGTGCTAGGACGCGGGCTGCTCACAAGCGCCAGGCTGCTGCCCAGCTCACGGTGGAACTTTCCAGACAACTGCCCCAGGGAGATGGTGCGGGAGCGGTGCCCAAGGGTGCGCATGCTGCCATCAGGCCCTCAACTGGCTTCAGCACCTCCCTCCCCCAGCTCCCCACCGGCCACTCAGCTCTGAAGCCCGTCAAGCCTTCACAAAGCACAGCCCCCAGGCTCACACACACTATTCTCACATCCAAGTGTTTCTCCCCCACATACCAACAACTCTCTTTTTGGTAAAACGGCCCCACACAGAGGGAGTGTGGTGTTGTGACGGGAACAGCCCTGATCCTGGTCGCTTGAGGGGGTCTCAGAGTCTGCTCTACTACAGGCTAACGATGGAGAGCCTACTATTCCCTCTTCCAGGGCTCCCAGTCCCACAGTGTCAATGGAGAGGATAGGAGTCACAGCAGGGGCTTTCATGTTTTTCATGGAGACCCACAGCAAGAAACACACTCTAGGCCTGGCATGGCGAATCATGATTGCAATCGCCGCACTTTGGGAGGTGGAGGTGGGAGAGCTGCTTGAGCCCTGAAGTTTGACACCAGCCTAGGCAATATAGTGAGACCTTGTTTCTGCAAAAGAAAAAAAATAAAAGCCAGGTATGATGGTGTGCCTGTAGTCCCAGCTACTCAGGAGGCCAATGCAGAAAGATACACCTAAACCCAGGAGGTCAAGGCTGCAGTGAGCCATGATCATGCCACTGCACCTCAGCCTGGGCGACAGAGTGAGATCCTAACTCAAAAGAGAAAGACCAGGGAAGAGGGGGTGGGACTGCCAGTTGAGGGAAACTGCCAGGGGAGGGAGGGGCACACCTCATCACCAAGGGTACCTGCAAAATGAACATTTGTATACCTAATGTTGAATTGTACCCCACATCTTTAAATAAAAATAAAAGAAAGAAGTCAGGTGCAGTAGTTCACACCTGTAATCGTCCAATACTTTGGGAGGCAGAGGAGAGAGGATCTCGAGTCCAGGGTTCAAGCCAGCCTGAGCAACTTGGTGAGATCTCATCTTTACCATAAATCAAAAAATTAGCGGGGCGTGGTGGCACATAGCTGTAGTTCCAGCTACTTGGAAGGCTGAGGTGGAAGGATTGCCTGAACCCAGCAGGTCGAGGTTGTGGTGGCTGTAAGCATGCCACTGCACTCCAGTCTGGGAGACAGAGTGAGACTCCGACTCAAAAAAAAAAAGAAAGAAAGAAAAAGAGAGAGAGGAAGGAAGGCATTTTCTGTCACAACCTAGCACACGAGTGCATGTCATGTGTGCAGATGTACATGTGCATATAGTGAAAGTTGATTAGAGCTAATCCTACTCCACGGTGGACACACTGTGACAACTTCTGTCTGTTTTTTGAGCCGGAGTCTTGCTGTCGCCCAGGCTAGAGTGCAGTATCATGCTCATGACCACAGCAGTCTCGACCTGCTGGGCTCAGGCAATCCTTCCTCAAACTTCCAAGAAGCTGGAACTACAGGTGCACGCCACCATGCCTGGCTAACTTTTTGATTTATTGTAGAGATAAGGTCTCGCCAAGTTGCCCAGGCTGGCCTCGAACCCATGGGCTCAGGTAACCCTCTTGCCTCCGCCTCCGACAGTACTGAGGGAAGGAACCAACGCACCCAGCTCCGGGCGCGTTTTCACCCCTCAGACTGATCTCACTTGAGGAATGCTGACTGATGTGCCCTGGGAGTCCTTCATCAAGGTTGCAGGCTGAGTCCCCAAGCCGACTTCCTTGTCAACACAAATGCTGCTGTTTTCGCAGCTAGAGCAGTGGTCGTTCTGGGTTTTCACATTTTTTTTAAAAGCAGAATTTATCGAGAGGACAAAAAAGCTCCCACAGTGGGAGGGGACCCAAGGAGGTTACCCTGTTTTCACATTAGAACACAAATTTCTGAGCTAACCCCATTCCTACGGTGGGTGAGGAGTGAGTGTACACTTGGAAGTGAAGGTGGTGTAAGAGGCAGGGCGAGCACAACCCCATGACATTTATTGACCATTGCTCCATGTCAGGCCCTGCATGTTACCTGCGCGTTCTCTCCACACACCCGGGACAGGCCATCTTTTACCCTATTTGTAGACAAGGAACCTGCCAGCACCAGGGCACATGGACACTGCACTGCCCCCCTCCATGGCACAACAGACACACAACGGCCACGAGATGGCTCAAGAGCTAGTTGTCACCCACCCACCGTCCCTTGAAGGTGACCCCACATTTCCGGCCAGCTGACTCGGTTCTCTGCGTGAGTCTAGCGACCTGTGAAGTGAGAGGCAGGCGAGTCACTCTTCCAGTCCTGAAGCTCTCTCGGCTCGGGCTCAGCCGAGGTGGGATCCCGCTGGGGCCCACCCCAGCACGGGGGCCAGCTGCCCTTCCCTGCCAGGCCTCACGCCTCCCAGCCTGGGCCAGACCGGGCGTCCTGGGGTCCTGCTGGCCACACTCTCCAGGGCAGCCTCACGCGTGCCCGTTCACATCCGCCAGCCTCGGTTGGGTGGACTCCGCGTGCTGGCCGCTTCCCGTCCAGGCGCCCCATGCAGTGCTCGAGCTCTCACGCGCAGTGGGCACGCGCTGCCGCCACAGTGCTCTGGACACCCTCACGCCCGCTCGCTCTCTCACACAGCTTCATCCACACACGTCCTCACCCACACTCACCTGCTCTCCCGTGCACCTTCGTCCACACACACACGCCCTCACCCACACTCGCCCATCCTCACACCCGCTCACTCTCAGCCGCACCCACTCCCACTCACCCACGCACGCTCAGCCTCACACCCTCTCACGGGCACCTGCGCCCACACACGCACCTGGGCTTGCTTTCGTGTCCTTACCGCCTCACACTCATCCTCACAGCTGCTCCCTCACACCCGCTCGCTCTCACACGTCCTCCCCGACCCACACTCGCCCCACCTGCCTCCCGATCCACGCACTTGTGCGCACCCACGCCAGCTCACTCCTCACCCACACTCACATACCCTACACGCCCGCCCGATGCCCCCGGCTCGCGCTCGCTCCTCACCCACACACTCGCGCTC